TTTTTAAAATGGAAACAATACTCCCCTTTTGTCTGACTGTTGTTGTTCTCCAGGGAGAGGCGGACAGAACAGAGCTATGCTGTAAGAGCTTTGGCCAGGTATGAAAAAAATCATCAGTATCATACCTAGAAAGACTCATTTAAAACCCCAGATATGTAAGTAGATCAGGAAATGTCTAGGAAGATGTGATTAGGTTTATTCCTTTTATTTCCTTATGGCTTGTAGATTCCTCTGTGCTAATCCCAGGCTTTTTGTTTTGCTTGTAACCTTTAAACTGGACCTCAAGAAAGCTATTCTTGATGCTTAATCCTCGTAGTTGTTTTGGGTTTTTTTTAATCTAGCAAATGCCTCAGTTCCCAGGTATATTTTCTATTTTTTTTATTAATAAAATTTACCTTTTTAAAGAACTGAATTGGATTTTTGTGTCTTTAGAGGTTTGTACACATGTTAATTAGCTGGTGGCAACAGCTGATTTCTTTCTTTTTTTTTTCTTTCTCAGCCTTCCCCAAAGGGGGGGTGAAAGGGCTTGAGGGTACCCCACAGGAAGAAATTCTCAATTGCGCCTTCATGGGTTCTCAAAGGGGGTCTGCACTTGGGTGGTGGCAGCATCCAAGGTCAGAGAGAAGCTGTAACCTTGGGAGATTAATACAAGCCTGGAAAACAGAAAAGGAGTACTTGTGGCACCTTAGAGACTAACCAATTTATTTGAGCATAAGCATAAGATGCATCCGATGAAGTGAGCTGTAGCTCACGAAAGCTTATGCTCAAATAAATTGGTTAGTCTCTAAGGTGCCACAAGTACTCCTTCTCTTTTTGCGAATACAGACTAACATGGCTGTTACTCTGATACAAGCCTGGAGTGGCCAGTATTAATTTTTAGAATCTTTGCGGGCCCTCACCTTCTGCACTTGAAGTGCCAGAGTGGGGAATCAGCCTTGACAGGGGTTTTGTCTCCTGCTCACTTTGAACCTAGTTTAAAGACCTCCTTGCTAGGGGCCAGTCGGTGCATGAGGATGCTCTTCCCCTTCTTGGTCAGGTGGACCCCATCTCTTCCCAGCAGACCTTCTTCCTGGAACAGCATCCCATGATCGAGGAAGCTAAAGCCCTCCTTCGACATCATCTGCCCAGCCATGCATTTATATCCATGATGTGTGTGTGTCCCTGCTTGAGCTCTTACCCTCAACCAGGAGGATGGACGAGAACACAACCTTCACCCTCGCTCCCAGAGCCCTGCAGTCAATGTGGATCAGCTCAGGCTCAGACCTGGCCATATCATTAGTGCCTAAATGGATGGGAAGCATGAGGTAGAATGATGGAGGCGCCTCAGCAACCTTTCTGTCGTGTCCAGACAAGTAGCAAACATCTCAGGACATCATGTCAGGTTGGCAGACGAAGGCTTCCATCCCCTTCAGAAGGGAGTCCCTGACCATCAGCACCCTATGTCTCCTGCTTTTGGGGGTAGTGGCCAGCCTTGTGGACAGGTGGATCCTCCTCCTCAGCCAGCGCAGCCTGCTGCTGTATTTGTGCATCTCTGACTGGCCAAGCCGTCTCCATCCTCTGACTGAGGGAGCAAAATGGGGTTCAGCTGGGCTCCCACAGGACCTCCCTGGACCCAGAACTGTGCAGGGGAGACACCCCCCCATTTCCACCCACTGTGGGGGCACTAGGACTCAGGTAGCATCTTCCCTCCTCCACCATGTGAAAAAACAGCAGTAAAAAGTGAGCCAGAGACTTCACTGGCAGAAGCAGCTAAAGCAGGACCCTTTGGATATTTGGAGACTTCCCTACAGCTTTGGCTGCACCGTCTCTGCCCCCTGGCCTCTTTCCCCCTTGTTCTCCAGTTCAGGGCCGTTGTTCAGCTTCCATGCAGAGAGGTGGGGGATCCGCCGCTCACATGTGTGGCCTCTCTTCGGTCTGTGAATGACTCGGGTCTTCAGCCAGGCTGGTACAGTGAGTTAAATGCCTCGTCCCTTCTCTTTACCCTCAGCGCATAGCAGTACAAAGTTCAGAGGGAATCTGAGGCTCACATGGGACTCATACCGATATTATCACAATTACCACTTGTGTCCTCTGATCCTGGATGACTGAGGAGTGAAAGGCACGGCCCTCTGGGTATCCAGGGTCCATTTGTTTGTGTCGGAGTCCTACAGGGGCAATCTGAAGTTCTATGCCAACCTCCTGGTCCCGTGAGTCAGCCTGGCCAGAGGAATGAAGGCTGGTAACATTTCAAAGTGCTCAGCCATTGACCTCCCTCATCTTTTAGGTCCAGATTATGACATCAATGAGCCCGTTGCCCTCTGGCATTGGGATGTTCTTTGCATTGCATCTCCCCCTTACAAAGCTGCAGGACGGTAGCCCCTGGCAGACCCAGAGACAGCTGGTCAGAGCCTTATTTCCTGTACAGGGCGTCTGCCACTATATTTTCTTTCCCTTTATCTAGAAGAAACTTTTGTCACCTTTGTCTGTTACAGTCTCCAGGACATAATATTAGAGAGTACCATAATTTCACCTACTGAGTTGTTACAAACATTTCACAGTGGCATCAATGATCAGTGAGTTAATAAATAACTATCATGACACCAGTGTGTGAAGTGTAGTGAGTGTGTCACGCCTGATAAGAACTGCTGATACAGAGTAGTGAACCACAAATGGGCCTCTGTGTCACCAACACACACGAGTCATGCGAGGGGGGGCTAGCAAGGGGTCAAGTTCCCATCATGCAACTTTCTCCATCCCACCATGTGATGAGATTGCATCAGCTGTTTTTTCCACAAATACAGAAAAGAAATATTTATTGAACACGTCTGTCTTTTCTGCATTATTATTGATAGTTCTACCACTTCCATCTAGTAAAGGACCAATACCATTGTCAGGATTTAAAAACTCTTTCTAAGTGTTGTTAACTGTGCTGGACATAGAGTTCTTCTTGTGTCCCTTGGCTTCCCTTATCTATAGTCTACAATTCCTAATTTCTGATTTATACTCATTACTATCAATTTCCCCTTTATTCCATTCATTCTCTGTGTGTGTGTGTGTGTGTTTGTATTATATATACAGTTGCCTTCACTTCCTCTCTAATCCAGGTCATTTTTTAACCAGCATAGCCTTCTTCCTCAATCATGAGATTGTGGTTTATTGGGCATCTAATAAGGTGTTCTTTTAAATGATTCCCAATTATCATTTACATTTTTCTGATTAAATTCTTCCTCCAGCTGATTTGGTCCATAATTGTTTTCAGCTTTGTGAAATGGTCTAGATAATACTTAGTCCTGCCTCAATGCCAGGCACTGGACCAGATGGCCTATTAAGGTCTCTTCCAGGCCTACATTTTTATGATTCTATTAAATTAGCCCCCTTAAAGCACCCAGTATATATATTACTGGTCTGGATTTTATTCTATATGCTCATTATAAATGTGATCAAGTCATGATCACTTGTACCTATGCTATCATTAATTTTTAGTTCTGTGATTAGTTCCTTTGTATCTGTTAGAACAAGGGCAAATATAGAATTTCCCCATATTGTTTGCAATATTATTTGAGTTATAAAATTGTCATGTATAATGTTTAGACATTCCAAGGATGTTTTAGTACTGGTAGCCTGAAACTTCCAGCATATGTCACTCAGATTGAAGTCCCCCATGATTACAAAGCATTTTTTTCCTTCACACTGTAGATAGGTGCGTCAGGAGCTGCTCATCCTGTTCCCTAGCATGATTTGGTTGTGTGTAGCAGACACCAACTAATACCCCTTCTTGTGCTTTATCTGTTGGGACTTTGATCCATATACATTCAAGATCATTCTCTTCGAAGTTCTCAGTGACTCGGAAACAGATAATGCCATTTTTGACATAGAGTGCCACTCCCCATCCCTTTTTGCCCACTCAGTCCTTCCTAAATAGGTTATAACCATTTATTCCAACATTGATTCCAACATTTCAATTGATATTCAAAAAAAGAGCAATTCTAGTTCCTCCTGTTTGTTACCCAGGCTCCTGGCACTAGTGTACGGGCAATACAAGAATTTCTTCTCTTCGTGTCCTTTGGTTCCTTAATTAATTTTGTTCTCAACATCTCAATTTTATGCCGAGTGCTCCTATCTTCCCTTTTTTTACCCAACCCTTTTACTATAAGTTTAACCCCCTCCCTGACAAAACTAATATGGAAAGATGAGAGTAAAAAGAGGGAAAATATGAGCATTCAGGTAGCATAAAATCAAGATGTTGGAAACAAAATTAATGATGCAGCACTTTTTTGTCAACATCACTAGTATCATTTGAGGAGGTGGTGTTACCACGCCAATAGAAAAATGCCTTTTGCTGCTATAAGTTGCACCTACATTAGAGGGCTCTGAGGGTACACCTTTATCAGCTAGGGAGTGTGTTTATTTCACACCCCTGACCAAAATAGCTATTGACAAAATGTTGTAGTGTAAATCTGGCCTCAGTAACCACTACTTTGATCCCTGAAAAATTTATGGCTTATTATCCCTTTCCTGCCTGGTTAGAGCAGGTATTCTCTGTATGTGGCATGAGAATATGACTAGTACAGGCAATATCTTACTGGTGACAGGGTTTAAAATCCCAGTCTTTTAAACTGCATCCTTTGTAAATTGTCAGGTACACTGAGAATTTGTAATTATGGCATCAGAACATCAACTCATGCTATATGCTTCATTAAGCTCTTGCTATGGCCAGACAGGTTGGAATGTGTACTCTGATGTGAATTATGAGTAACAACATCAAAGTGCATGAGTTTACACTGGTGTAAAATTCATGTGAAGAAAAAGGCTCCATGTTCATATCTATATGTTGTTTGCAGTGTTATAATCATGTCAGTCCCATGGTATTAGAGAGACAAGGTTGGTAAGGCAATATCTTTTATTGGACCAGCTTATGTTGGTGAGAGAGAAAAGCATGGGAGAGCGGTAGGTGGGGGGTGGGGTTAGATTGACCCCTCAGCCTGTGGAAGAGGTGTGGGAGGGGTTTAGAGTTACCATACCTGGGTTTTCCTGGGCATGACCTTTTTTCTGGTCCTCCGATCTCCATCTGGGCAAATTTCTGAAATGTGGAAAAATGTCCATGATTTTTTCTTGCTCATTACAGATCAGAAAAAGTCGTCCCGCAGAGCCGTAACTAGGCTCTTCAGCGCCCAGGAAGAGCAAGCCTACCAGCGCCCCCAGCTGTTGGGCCCCCATCATTTTTTTGCCCCTGTGGCTTTGTGCCCTGGGCAGCTGCCCCACTCACCCTGCCCTGGTTACGGCCCTGCATCTCTGCACTTTCATTGGTCCCCCCTGCATCTGCAACCGCTGGCTCCCACCCAGCCTGCCAGGTAAGTGTGGCTGTCAAGTGCCTTTCGGCCAGGCTGCCTACCCCACTGCATGACCACAGAACCCAGTCAGGATCAGTCACAGCGTGGCCAGGCCCCAGCTCCCTGCTCTCAGTATGGGAAAGGCCCATAGGGAGGTGCTGACTGACACTGCGACCGGGGCCTGCGCCAGCCGGCCTACCACCCTGAGAGGGAGCACAACAGTTCCCCCTCCTTGAGATTGAGGTTGCAGGTATCCCTGCCAGAACCCACATATACCCCATCCCATTACACGCACATCCCTAGTATCCCCCAAATACCCCTCCCAGTATCTATACACCCCTCCACACATCCCGAATACTCCTTCCAGTACACACACAGCACCCCCCCATCCCTCCCAATGCACACATATCTCCCACCCCCCCAAATACCCCTCCCAGTACACACACACCCGAGCACCCCCCAAATACCTCTTCCAGTAAACATACACCCTTCCCACACACCCCAAATATCCCTCCCAATACACACAGCCCCTCCCCCCAATATACCCAGTGTGCGGGAATGGGGGGGGCGGCGGATGAGGCTAGGCTCACAGCTCAGTGAGGGGGGAGGGGCAAGTGGGGGGCGGGGCTAGGCTCATCCAGTCACCGGGTGCGTCACTCACGACTGCCTCACGGAGCGGGCGGGGCCTGGCCAGGGAGGGACAGACGTCACTTCCGTTCCGTGGTAGAGAGCGCTGGCGCCGGACGGTGGTGGAGGTTAGTGCGACGGTTGCTGGCAGCCTTCGAGGGACAATGAGCGACAGCGGGGAGCAGAACTACGGCGAGCGGGTAATACACGGAGCCTGAGTGCACAGCCGGCCGGGCCTCCAAAGCGGCAGCGCGGCCTGGCCCGTCTGGGGCTGGCCTGGGGCGCCGCTCCACGGCCCCGCGAGGCAGGGGCAGGCCTGTAGCTCGCAGGCAGGGGGCGGCGCGGAGCGCGGCTTAGCCTCCGCGGGGAGCGCGCTGGGAGGCCCGTCCGTTAGGGCTGGCTGGGGTTGGCGCGGGAAAATGGCCGCCGGGCCGCTAATGGGGGAGGCGGGGACACTCTAGCTGCTCGACTGCGTGCTCCATGGTGAGTCCTCCCGGCGCCATCTTGGGCTGGTGACCCGCCAAAGGGACAAAATGGCCGAGAGGCCGGGCGCTTCTATGCCCAGGCGGCCCGCGGTCGGGGTCCTGGCAGGCGAGCCCCTTTCTCGGGGGTGGCAGCCCTGGAAGTACGGTCACGGCCTGGGCGTGCTGGCGGGCGCGACCCGAGCTTCTACCCGGCAGGACGTGCTTTGCGCGGGCTCCACGCCAGAGGCGCACAGCCCTCCCCCCTCCCGCACTTAATAGCACCAGGGAGCTTCAGCGGGCTTCGCCCTGAAGCTGCTGAGCCAATCGTGGGCGAAGCAAGGAGCTTGGCTAGGGCATGTGATTCCTCTGGCCCAGCACCTCTCCCGGCGCTCCTAGGGGCGTAGCCACCCGTCTCCTGGCAGTCGCTGCCGCAGAGCAGCGTGGCTATAGCCTGTCCTCTCTTCCTCAGTGGTGTTTCTGGGTAAGGGATGGGGTATTTAGACGACGTTAAGTAACGTGGGTGCAGTCCCACTCCAGGCACCGTGGAAACGGGATTGGAACTCAAGCCTCCACGCTCTAGTTCCTGTACTCACCACTGGAGGCACTGGCGCTGCCTGTACTGTCCCTGTTATCTTGCTATTAATGGTTGGGTGTGACGGCTTTTGACAAACTATCAATAACCAGAAGCTATTGATGGTGCCTAAAATGCATATAGAGCTTGAGGGCTAGCTTATGGGGAGGGCCAGCTTGCTTTACCATTAGTATTGGCATAGACATCCGTTGCGTTTGCTGGGGCCTGAGTCAATGGGATGGGAGAATGGAGCTGAACCTGAGTTCTTGCTGTGTTTACAACTATGAGGGGAGCACTCTGTCAAACCTTACGCTGCTTGTAAACACTATGTAACTTTTCATAGCAGTTTACTGGGCTTGTCAAGGATGACAGTGTCTTAGAATGTGTTTTTTCCCCAAAAACTGGAATAGCATAATTGCTCAGATAAGAACACTGTAGACTTTTGCAGTATACAGTTAGCCCTTTGATCACAGGTAGAAATCTTTGGAGAAGATCTTTTACAGGGGAAAATCTTTGGAGTGGCAGTAAGATAGTTTTCAGTGGTTCTGCATGTCCACACTGCAACACATCTGTTACTTGCTTTCTGTTATAATTCTGTTCGTGATTTCACTATGCAGGTAGTAATGCACTTCTGAATGTTTAATAGTCAAAAGTTGCAGTTGCTTGTGTAAGTTAATCTTTTATACATTGGACTTTGGCCCTTTAATTATGTCTAAAAACATAAATTTGCCTCTTAAAATAGCTACAATTCTATTCTGCGCAGATATTTTGGCCTCCTGAATCATGTTTCAAAGTGACTGGTATATCTAGACAGTATCAACTGCTTGAAATTACAAGTCCTGAAGTTTTGGTTTTGCAAACAGTGATTATTGGGACAGTATTATCCTTCGTGTTCACAAGGGGCACAAAATTTTCTATGAAAGCCAAGTAGTAGTATTGCAGTTACGGTACAGTAAACGGCAACTTCTGAAACAAGCAGCATTTACTGCAAAAATGTTATATTTAGCTGGGTCAAATATAACAAATGGAAGTTAAGCAGAAAAAGAGAGGTGAATTATTTAGATATTTGGTGGTCGGGGGGGGGAAGGAGGGGGAAGCTTGTCAGTGTAATCCAAATGGAGTAATTAGTTTAAATTGAAACATTGCAAAAATACATATTTTTAAATGAAATTTTCTGACTTCCCGTTATGCCTGAGGCCTATGTAGCTGTTTATATTTCTACACATTGTTTGGTAATTGAGTTTTTAAATCTGTCATAGAGGTTTTTATTTCCTTTAAAAAAAAAATCAACGTAAAACGTAAGCTTTCCATAGAAACGAATATGTAGGGTGGTAGTATGAAATCTTAAATTTTATCCATGTACTCATCTTTCCAGTAGCATGTGTAGAATTTCCGGTGGCTCAGATTTACTACTATTGGACAGTAGTACTGACCTTAAGAGTATAGCTACACTGCAGTATAAACCTAGGGTTAGTGGGACTCAAATCAGTTGACCAGTGGTAAGGAACTCTGGGCTTGAGTGTCTACATTGTATTTAAACCCTACTTTCAGACTTTTCTAACCCATGCTTAAACCTAGAGCTCAGGCATCCACGCTGCAGTGTGCAGACCTAAGTCAAAGTAACCATATCCCAGAGTCCCTAGCGCCCCCCCCCCCTCCCGAAAATGTGGCCAATCTAGCTGTAGGACTGTGGTAGGACATGTTTACTGCCCAGCCCCCTCAGCACATTACCAGGAAGCAGAAGGCTCGATCTGCTCACTTTCCGCTGCAAACCCAGGAGATTTTGGTAGTGTATTTGCAGAATGATGATCTGAACCAAATGGGTTAACACTGACCTGAGGTGCTCTGATTTTCAAAAGGGGGGCTGGGGGTAGCTTCCCTTTTCAATAGAGTGGATTGCAGATTGTTGGCGGTAAGAGGGCTCAGGAAGTTTTTGCATGGAAATGTGGGCTACTTCCAGCTGACTCTTGGGATATGTGTCAAGGAGGGCTGCAGCTACACTTCCGAACAATAGGGCTTGGACCTGCAGGGTCCTGATCCTGGGTTAACACAGTTGCAGTGGAGACACAAGGGCATTAGCCTTGATACCAGGCTCTAACACAGGCTTACATTGCAGTGTAGTAACCCTAAATGTTCAACAATTAGGGGCAGAATTCCTTTTTAAACTTCAGGGTACATTCAAGATGCTAGACATTATCAGATTTTAGGCTAGTGTTTTTCCAATCTTTTCATAATCTCTACATCTTGAACTTTTCTGCAAAGAAAAGAACATACTTTCTGTTTATACCATTTAATCCCTGTTCATAGTGGGCTGCCGAACTGTGGTAGCTATATGAGAGTGTACTGGCAGAAGCCCTACTTGATTAAGAAAATACTGGCAGGGTTTGAGTAATTTGCCAACATAACCACTTTGCGTCTCTGATTAGTGTTTATGGAAGCTATATTAAAACCTATAGTTTTATAGAAACTATAAATTATAGAAAGTGTGTGAAATTTAAACTATACATCATCCTGACCTTGGGGCTTCAGAAAATTGCATATGTAAGCAACCCCCTATCAACATAGACACGAACAAGACTTAAAATCAGGTATGTCTCACTAGCATTTAATTTAATTATAAAACACAGCCACACAGGAGTAATATTACTGACTTGGGGTTTTTTTGGGGAAAATTCATACATTTCACACATTTTAAAAAATAAAAATGGAGAACACAGCCAACTAGCTACCACAAATCTGCTATTTTAGACTAGATTATAAGATTTGCTGTTTTAAGACTGTCTTATGTGAGACACTGGTGAGGTAATATTTTTTATATGGCTGTCTTCGGTTGGTGAGAGAGACAAGCTTTTTCAACCTTACAGAGCTGCTTTTTACCTGAAAGCTTGTCTCTCTCTCCAACGGAAGGTGGTCCAATAAAAGACATTACCTCACCCACCTTGTGTGTCTCTCCAATATCCTGGTACTGACATAACAACAACACTGGCTTTTGTGACATTTTTCTAGTATTTTTAAGTACTTTTTTTTGCAAGGTTAGAGAGAAGTGGCTTTTAGCTGCTTCAAGCTAGAAGTTGGGTAGTAAAGCTGGGGGCCCAGTAATTGAGTGAGATGTAATGTGCTTGTCTCCCAGTATGATAACGCCCCTGAAATGTATTCACTGACGACCTGCCCAAGATGAAGTGAGGTGATGTAAATTGTGCAAAATCCAGGATTTGAAATAAATGGCAACATTTTTCACAATGAACACTGACAACTGTTCCTTCTCTTATTTCAAGAGCTTTTATGCCACATGTTGGTTCAGTGGTGTTCTGGTCACTCTGAATATACGTTTCGGAGTTAACAGTCTTTCTGGAAAATGGATGGTTACCTGGGTCTGTGTACTTTTATTTGGTAATGTTTGAGACCTGCGAATACTGATCCTGTTCCTTTGAATGACCAAATAAGAGCTGAAGGTACTGAACCTCTTTCAGAAGAGGATTTACTCACCTTGTCTTCATAATGAAAAAGTTGTTTGGCTGCTTTTTTACCAACTTTGAAAAACACACCTTTTTCCAGTGAAGACATGGCCAGTGAAAGATAATTATAGTTGTACTGAATGTCCTCTGTCCTTTATATGAGTGACTTAACGTATCCTGCTGGTGCCTTGTTTATAGAATGCTTACACATCATCAACTTTAAATTTTTTACTAATAAATAAAGAACATGTCCCAGTGTTGTGAATAAGAAATTATTATAAGAAATTTTCAATAGTATTCAAACTATGAGAGGAACAGTCAACTCCATTTGGTGAAAATACTTAAGCATGGCTCATTCTAAACATTAGGACACAGTCAACTTAAATATCACATCTCTGAATTTATCTACTAATACAAAACCTGAAAGATTCAGTTTTTCTCCTGTTAAATGGAACTTTTACATAGTAGCTAAGAATAGGAAAAACACTTCGAAAAATGTGATTGTAAACTCACAAATTAACAGGAAATCAGGGTTAAGTGCATTATCTGAAACTGCTTATATTTTTAAATTAAAATTCAAGTTGATTATCCCTTTAAGATAACTGAAGCCCTATTACTTGTCATTTAATTATTATAGAAATGAATGAGAGATGTTATTTTAAAGTGTTTGTAGAAATACAAGGTTTTCTTTTAGCTGTTTTCGCTTGCCTTATGCCTTACAGCTTTCACCACATGGAGCATTCTTGAAAACAATCTACCTTCTTAGAAATAATTCTGATTTTATAACTTTTCCATATTTTTAGTAGTATCTTAATTGTTCTATTATAGTAGCATAATTTAATGGAATGCCACGAATAATAATGAAAACACAGAAGGCGCAGATTTGAGTTTCTGGTCTCTTGTATTTCCTTTTTAAGTGCATTAAGTGTATGTTTTGTCATGTGTATGCCAAAAATATGTGGCATGACTGCTACAGGAACTACGACCCTGGATCTGCTGGCTCCCATGGACTCTCAAAATCCAAAGTTGAATGAATGAAGGAAAAATGTGAATGAATATAGTATCAGATACAGGGAAAGGATGGGGGAGTTACAATCCTAAAAAAAGCCCTCTCTGCAATTCTGAAATTCAGGTTTAGAAAACTATTTAGATATAAAACATTGGATAAACAAATTTCCAATTAGAAACGTTTGCTATTTCCATAAATGGGATATGCAGTGGTATGAAACTAATACAATCCTTGACCGATTCACACTCTTGCATAGAGTTGGGGAGGGAGAACCAACTTCTCTTCTGCCACCCTTCCCCACAGCCATAGCACAAGCAGAAACTTGCCTTGCCTTTGCTGCTCCTGTGCATAGCAAGCTTCCAAGAGAAATCTTAATACAGAGAGGAGCATAAAGCAATAGAAGTAGGAAGAGAGGAAAACTCAGACTGGGAAGAGCAAAACCAAGCAAACTAGAAGCTGAAAAATGTAAGAATCAACTGTGGGAGAAACTTGCACCTAGATGAGAGGAGACTGATGAAGATGTAGTGGGGAAACAAATCAGATTCTCTGCTCCATGGGCTTCTAGTATTTGAGGCAATATATTCTGTGAAGGGAGTGCTTCCTTTCTTGCCAAGTGGAGGGGTAGTGTTGACATGCTCTACTGGAGTCATGTCCAGCTTTCCTCGGTCTTCTAAGGATTATTGCAGTAATGTGTGCCCTCTTTAGAGATGAGGAGGGAATAGGTTCTTCAAAGACTCCCAGAAAGGAACCTGGGGAGATCTTATAGAAAGTTAGACTGAAACTAGGGGTTGGGCATAGAATCATGACTTCTGTTGAAAGAATTACAGGAGAGAGAGAGCTGAATGAGAGAGAAGCCAATTGCTTTATTTAGGCTGTAGATATTAAGCAATTATCTTTTTCCTCTTTTTAGGTTTCCTTCTCCTGCAATTTTTTTTTTTTTTGAAGGGAATTCCACTTAGTTATGGTTACCTCTGCATTTGTATGAAACAGTGTGTTGCCAACCTTTGTAATTGTCTGGCATGTTAAATGGTTTAACATGTTCCACCTCAGATATTGTTGCAGTGGTAATATAGGTAAAGTGACCCATCTTTTTAACACATGAGTTTCTTGGATAAAATGTAATCTTAGAAATTATGCCATTTAAAATGGGTGTTGGGCGTTCATACAATAGTATTGCTCTTTGTCTGCAAGTTTGAGACCCACAAAGAACTAGAAATTTCTTTAAAAATGAGAGCTTAGTTTATGAAGAATATAGCAAAGTGTGTATGAACTACACATAGGACAGTGTTCTGTGTTAACAAGTGGATTAAGGCTTTTGGACAAATGTCACTAAATGAAGCAAATGCTCAAATTCTTCCCAAGTCTAGTGGTTTTAAAACTAGGATTATAGAAGCAATGGGAATTTTTAATGCTCAGTATGTTTCTCTGCCGGGTCTAAAAGGAGTATATTTGGAAAACACTGAGTAAATTGAGTTAGGTTTAGGAAGCCTAATCTACAAGACATTTTGGCCTTTACTGGTTTTATGACTGTTGTGCATAAAGTACTTTGCAAAAGGAAATTGTGTTTGAAGTGACAACTAAGTTCCAAATTTTTTTAAATCGAATTGGTTCATAGAAACTTAAAATGAGGCAGAGTTCTGGGGTGGATTAAGAATTTTTCTTTAAATGTAGTAGTTGAGTCCAGATTAAATAATGTTCACACTAATTAGAAAAATCATATTAGCTCTCATTGCATGAAACTGTAAAAGACTACTCATAGTAAATACTGCTTAGTGTAGAAAACTTAAGGTCTGCTTTTTATTTCTTCATAGCTGGGTAGTATAGTTGATTACTTTTTCTCAAATATAAGAGGAATATCTGACTTCTAACTGCCATTGCTGCTGTTTCGAAATAAATTCTCACTTAACACTTCATGATATTTTAAACATTAATGGTAGTCAACATAAACAATGAAACTCACAGCAGAACAAGCTTTTCTTTTGGTTGTGTGGAAGTGGTGGTTTCAACTAAAATTAAACTTCAGCTAATGACTATCCAGTACGAAAAAACCTTTGTGTATGAATTTCCAAACACTGGGAATATGAAGTTAAAAAGAAGAGAGAAAATCATTAGAATTGACAAAAGAAGAGTGTAATTTTTGGCCCAAAAATGTTAATTTAAAGAAATCTAATTTGGAAAAAGCTTGCTATTTATAGACAAGTTTCCATGAGCTTTAAAACAAAAAACTTCCCCAACCAATATTTCAAAACTAACATGCTTCTCCAGTGTTTGCAACCCAAATGTTGCAGCCTTGTGATTGTGTATGAAAGTTGAACGTGGCACTGGCTAGAAACTTTTAAGTCATAAAATGTAAGTAACTAGGGTATATTCATTATCCATATCAAGAAAAATACAAGTAGTAAACAATGGTATAAATAGTACATTAGATTTTGAGAACCAGAATTAATGTTGATATGCACAATTGCATCTTCAGTTTGTGTGCAGAATTACCATGGTTGCATATGGAAATACAAAACCTGCATGTGCAGTGAGTTTGCAGGCAAACTAAACATGCACATACCTAGCTTTTAAAATCACACTTTCAAAATTGTTATAATGTGTATTAGTGACATAAAGGAACATTGTAAGGTTAAGTCATTTAATATACAACTGAATTGTACTTTTGAATTAAAAAAGATTATCGGTTTGCTCAGTTTAACTAAATTCAAGTGCAGTGGTGACCTTTTGACACTTAAACATTTTCTTGTTGATTAAGATTTAAATATGTGGCTAAAGAAGTGTGAAATATAGTAGCCGTTGAAATTTTTCATGTCAAAATGACCGGTAAATCTTCAATCCATTGCACACTTAATTTTAAATTAGGCATAAATAGAGAATGCACAATTACCCAATACTAGACTGATTTGACATCCATGTAAAAAGTAATAGAAAAATTGGTAGGTCCAAGTCTTGAACTGCATATATAATAAAAAAGTCCAAAAACCATAGCATTTTTTTCTAGTTTCAGTTTTGGCACTAGATTTTATCCTGGAGTTTTAAAATATTCTTCATCCTGTTCTTTTTCTATTAAGGTTAATGTTGAAGAAGGAAAATGCGGAAGTCGTCATTTGACAAGTTTTATAAATGAGAATTATTTGAAGCTCAGGAATAAGTGAAGCTGAAATTTGAAAAAAAAAAAGAAAGTGAATGCATGCTAATTATCAGACCAGAAGTCCCACTTATAGAATATTGAGCAATTTGTGTGAAGTGGGGAAGATGAAAGAAGTCAGAATTTGAAACGGAAGAATGAAGAAAAGGAATAAAAATGAAGTTAAGATAAGAAGTAATCTGGAATCTGAAAGCACTACGCTAAGTAATTACTAGTCTGTTTATGTGTCCCTGTATATTTTGCTAAACATGCATGCATTATCTGTTTAATAGAGAAAGCATATGCAGGGTAAAGAAGTGCCTACCAGGGAAAAAAACTTCTTAAAATCTAGGCAGTTCTAATTTCAACTGCCCGGACACATAGTTGAGATGCAAATTTTACCATTTTTTTCACTGGAGCTTGTTTACAGAGTTTAGATCACCCAGAAATTGTGTACAAATTAGACTTTCAATATCTGCATGCAGGAATCCCGTTCTGCTTCCAGAAGCGGAAGTGCTCATGGGTCCGGCAAGTCTGCAAGGCACACTCCTGCAAGATCTCGATCCAAGGAGGACTCAAGACGATCCAGGTCAAAATCTAGATCCAGGTCTGAATCTAGGTGAGTTTACCTACAACACAGAAGTGTGTCTGAATTTGTTTTGACAGTGGTGGGGTGGAAACTAATCAAGCTATGCCTGAATCTGGTACCAAAGGTTTAAAACAGACCTACGGAAGATTTGAATAAAAACAATCTTGTGCCATTTCAGTTGCTGTATGACACATAAAAATAAGTGAGATGTGAAGACTCTTGCTTTTCTTTCAACCTCAGGTATATCAAGTTAGGTCTTCCTTATTTCCTTCCCCCTCTGGAAGGACTCCTGCAGTCTTCACATGTATGGGCTCACCTCTTCATTTAAGGCAGTGGCTCTCAAACTTTTTTACTGTTGACCCCTTTCACATAGCAAGCCTCTGAGTATGACCCCCCGCCCCCTATAAATGAAGAACTTTTTTTATATATATATTTAACACCATTATAAATGCTGGGGGCAAAGCAGGGTTTGGGATGGAGGTTGGCAGCTCGTGACACCTCCTCCCCCCACGTAATAACCTTGTGACCCACTGAGGGGTCCCAACCCCCAGTTTGAGAACCCCTGATTTAGGGGGGGGTGTGTGTTATCAGTTTAATAAAATGTTTCCTGTCTCTCAGTGGCATAATATTTGATAGTTAAATGTCTACAAACTGCTAAATTGTCTGACTAAAACTCCTTCCCCCTCTTGACTCTTGTGATGTCATTGCACTAGTTCATAAGTCACCATAGCATCTTCCATGGCATATGGCCTGAATTCAAGATTTAAATACAAAAGCAGAGAAGGGAGGGGGAGGTAGGTTTTACAAACTACACACCTTTCAGACTGTCTTAATAGATTAAGTTTTTTTAAAAAAGCACAATTCCCAATTTTTTCTTTGTTTAATGTACATAAAGATGGCTTATTGTACGGTGTTCTATTGTTCTGATCTACATATTCAGTGCTGACAAATTAAAAGAAATAATTTGAACTATTCATACATGACAGGTTTCAGAGTAGCAGCTGTGTTAGTCTGTATTCGCAAAAAGAAAAGGAGTACTAGTGGCATCCACTGAATGCATCCGATGAAGTGAGCTGTAGCTCACGAAAGCTTATGTTCAAATAAATTGGGTAGTCTCTAAGGTGCCACTAGTACTCCTTTTCTTTTTACTCATACATGTTGCTAGGTTCTAAATTTAATTGTAAACACTCAGGGGAGAGACGTAGGTGTCACTGAGCAGAGGTGGCTTTCATTGAGCTGTTCACACTGACTTTTTTTGACTGTATAAAAGCGCAAAGTGTTAGGCTGTATAAAGAATTAATAGAAAAAATACTGAAAACATGCCATTATGTACATCAGTGGTACACCTTTTTCTTAAATACTGTTCTGGTGACCCTGCCACAAAAAAAAAGTTCGGAGAGAGCAACAAAATGCTTAAGAGTGTGAAGGGGCTTCTGTATGAAGTTATTTGGACTCTTCTGAGAAGAAATGAATAAGGGGATATGATAAATGTGTACAAAATAATGAATGGTAAATCCTGCACTCAGTTTACACTTGACTGTAATAAAAGAACAAGGGGGTATCAAGTGAAACTGAAAAGCAAAATGAAAACTCCTGTTTACACAGTTCATAATTAACCTGTGGAACTCATTGCTGTGAGAGATCTGAGGACACCAAGAGCGTTCAGAAAAGGCTTAGATGTTCTAATGGATAAGAACATCAGTTAATGTACAATAAAATACAAATTAACAAGTAGCCAGATGTTGAAAGGAATTAATATAACTTTGGGGACTTACTGAGGTTTTATAGTTGATACTGCAACTTTAATGTTGCCACAGTATTAGCTTTTAATCTCTTGGCTTTTAAACTCTTGGCTTTTAAAGAAAATAAGAAGTCAATAACTATTGAGCTTGGGAAGATCACAAGCATTATAATAGAATTTATAATTTCCTCGGCCTACTAGCTTTACAGGATGTCCACTCTCATTGGAAGCTTTTGACCACTGTGTTTCATGAACCTGGAACAGAGACACTGTAATAAACTTTAAATGCCTTGAACTGGAAATAGTCAGTTTGCAGAGTTTACAAAGTCCACTGGCTTAACCATCTAACTTGAGTAGAATTACAGCCTTGTGTTAAGGTGTACTTAAGAGCCAAGGTACCTACATTCCATTTCCAGTTTTTTCAGATTTTGAACATGGTCAAGGGCAAGTCGTTTTAAAAGTGGTTCTGCTCAGAAATGAAACAGCCCTACAAACTTAGCTTTAGTTCTGAGAGCTAGACTGGGTTCTTTCTGACACACCAGTAGAAGAGAGAGACAAATCTGATGATGCACAAAATGATAATTGTGCATTTGTCTTTGGTGCTCTTTGACACCTGTATGAGCAAAATGCCTTCAGCTGGCTTGTATAAGCATATGATTGATGCTAGGGCCTTGTCTACATAAAATTAGGTTGATTAAGTTACGTTGCTATGGGTTGTGAAATTTCATGCCCTGAGCATTGTGGTTAGGTTAACCCAACCCCAGTAGAGTCAATCTGACAGGGTGTAACCGTATCTACATCAGTAGTTCTCAACTTGGGTACACATATACCTAGGCATACACAGAGGTCTTCCAGGGGTTACATTTGCTCATCTAGATATTTGCCTAGTGTTACAACAGGCTACATAAAAAGCATGAGCAGAATCTAAAAATTAATATTTCATCAGTGAAATTGAGAGTACACAAGACAAATCAGTGCTGAAAGGGGTGCAGTAGTCTGGAAAGTTTGAGAGCTACATCAACAGAAGAACTTGTGGCTGTGCTGCTGCAGTGTAGACATCCCATTAATAAACAGTTCTGAGCACAGGATTTTTGGTTTTCTTGGCATTGTAGTATGAGCAGAATAAAAGCAAGGTGGGTATACATAAGGAACACATCTATTATAAGACAGGAGTTTTTCAGATCAGTGGTCCATCTTGTCCAGTGATGTACAGCTAGCTCATTCTTTGAAGAGGGCTAACTCCATTGTTAATTATGGTCTGTGGGCTGGCGCATATGTTTAGGGCTAAATACTCTCAACCTGAGAACTTCCAAAGGTCAGGGTGGAATATGGCATTCACGTAGCAACAAGACATCTGGTTACTAGCCCTTATTTGTTCAGTACCTTATTCTAACATTCAGTGAAAAAGCATGTAAATTTGACCACCATTATTTCTGCCCTTTGTTGCTTTCTCTAGTCTCCATTGTTTCTTGCCCTCTTCTGTTTCCCATCTTCTTTCCTCTGGATTTCTGTCTTTGCAGCAACTTCTGATACTCACCCCCATGTAGGATTCACTGCCTACCCTCTTTCCAGCTTCATTGACTAAATTGTGATCATATTTTTTGACATTAATGTGGTGATTAGCTCTTGAGTTAGCATCCCAATGAGACTAATTTAAAAATTGCTTAGAATTTAATTTGCAGAGTGAATGTCATGTGCGTGGGTGGTTGCGCAATCCTGATCTAGTCTGATATCCTGTCACAGATGGGACACTGCTAGATGCTTCAGAAGAGGATGCAAAAGAACCTGTTCTTAAGGAAATTTCTTTCTAACCTGACAATCTGTGGTTGGATTATGCCCTGAAGGATGATTTTTTTCCCCCTAGGTGACTGTAGCATATTCCCATTTGTAAGATTCTCCACATGTGGTTCAACTTTGGCAGACTTATAGAAAAGCTGTGCTTTCTGGGACCATCTGAGCACTCCCTACCAGTACTGAGTGTTCAGAGTAAAAGTTATGAAGTTGTGTGCTTCCCATCTACCTTGGCTTTTTTCCTCCTGTGGCAAGCTGCAGGTGGAGGGAACCTTTTTTTCCATTCCAGACCTTTTTTCTTTGATTCCTTAAGAATTTTTTGTGGATGAGACTTTAAATTATTTCAGTGATTTCTGTGGCCTTGTGTGGCTAGATTGCCATACTGGCTCTGAGAAAGTGAACAGAATGCTGGGAATAATTGAGAGGGATAGATAATAGGACAGAAAATATCATGTTGCCTCTATAAATCCATGGTACACCCACATCTTGATTAGTGTGTGCAGATATGGTCGCCCCATCTCAAAAAAAGGTATATTACAATTGGAAAAGGTTCAGAAAAGGGCAACAAAAATGATCAGGGGTATGGAGCGGCTTCCTTAAGAGGAGAGATTAATAAGACTGGGACTATTCAGCTTAGAAAAGAGACGCCTTAGAGGATTTATGATTGAAGTCTATAAAATCGTGACTGGTGTAGAGAAAGTAGATAACAAAGTATTTACTGCTTCTCATAACACAAGAACTAGGGGTCACCAAATGAAATTAATAGGCAGCAGGTTTAAAACCAATAAAAGGAAGTATTTCTTCACACAACGCACAGTCAACCCATGGAACTCCTTGCCACAGGATGTTGTGAAGGCCAAGACCATAACAGGGTTCAAAAAAGAACTAAATAAATTCATGGAGGGTAGGTCCGTCAATGGCTATTAGCCAGGATGGGCAGGAATGGTGTCCCTAGCTTCTGTTTGCCAGAAGTGGGAATGAGTGACAGGGAACGGATGACTTGATGATTACCTGTTCTGTTCATTCCCTCTGGGGCACCAGGCATAGGCCACTGTCAGAAGGACAGGATACTGAGCTAGATGGACCTTTGGTTTGACCCAGTTGGGCCATTCTTATGTAAATCCACAGCAGCACAGCACAGGAGTGCAGCACAGGAGCAGATCGAAGGCACATTTCTAGCTTTTCCAGTGAATGTTGATCCCTGTTACTTCTGGCTCTCCCTTTCACAGTGCTGGTCGCTTTGTATTGATACCCCTTCTACAATCTGTACAGTGACTATTGCTATCTGTAGAGATCCATTGGGATCCCTACTTTGCATCTGGAGAATTTACCATTCTCCTGATACATAATCATGGTTCTAGAGGGCTCTCGGTCAGCCTGGGGTTCATATAGTATGGATATGAAGGCTTTTTCTGGGTTATTTGGGCTTTGGCTTTTGGGAAGATTCCACTTGGGGCTCCAGTTAGACTCCAGTTGGGCCTTCTTCTCCAGGGCAGTG